TCGACTTGTCTTACCATTTCTGGACCCATTCGGATATAGAGCTTTAAAAAAAAGACAGAATAATCTCTTGCTTTACAGGCATAAAAAAGATCTTTTACTATTTTTTTCATAAAATCCTTAAATTCATCCAACGTAAGAAATCCATCACCTGATGTATCCAACCTACACATCAAACTGTCGATTCTTATCCATAACTTCGAAAAAGACTCTTACATGTGAAATGCATGGGTCAACATAACATTCAAGTCGTCATTGCTGATTGCAATGGCTACCAAAATAAACTCACGGAAAGTTACCATTCCATCATTATTTGTATCAAATGTACTAAATATTTCGCTAAAACAATCGATAAGAGTATATCGAAAGAGATAATTATATCGAAGAACATACTCAGTTTTAGCTCGATCGATGTTTTTATTTTTGAATACTTTTTTAGCAAAATTATGAAATTCGTCCTTTGTCAATTTGCCGTCGCCATCATCTGAATTTACGAAATGCTGAACAAAAGACAGCAATGAAATAACTGAAATTGCCCATGAATTCGCTTACTTCGTAACATCCGCGGATTTCTAAATATCAAAAAAAGAAATGTACGCAAAATTTTAGAAGAGAAAAGTATTTGCACTCGTCCTTGTACCTTCTTCGGTCATGTATGAACTGGCTTTAAGTGCATCAAGTTCTAATAGAATTCAAAAGTTTGTCACCGAAAGATTAGAGAAAATCAAACAAACCTTGATCAGTCAATTCTCGTTTGCTGTCTTCCTTATTCATAGCTTCGTTGATTTGATAATGAAATAAAGCTTCGAGAGGGAAAAAACAACGATATATATAGAGGAAAAACGAACAATCATTCTACTCGAACACATAAGCAAATACAAAATGTTTTTGACAAAACGAAAATCAAAAAGGTGATTACATGCGTATACTTCCTCAAATAGCGTCATTGATAGAAAATTTCGTCGATTAATCGAGTACGACCGATTTATTTTAGCGTGCGATAATGGTCGAAAACCAATCGTTGTGGATTGGATGCTGAGTACAGGACATGATGTTTTTCGTACTTTGCACTGGAAAGTCTTTACGCGTTAACGTGTTCCGACATCCTTTGTATAAGAAACCAACTGATGATTTTATCTAATATACCAAACGGCAGAGTATGAGGGTGTGAATGTGTAATTCTATCGAGTACTCATTACTTTAAAAAAATACTACATCTGAAATCTCATCGGATAGAGCATCTTTTTAGAAATTTCATTTTGCACTTATACCCGTAATTTAGACAAGGTAGGGAAATGTGGCGATGAATCGTATTCACACTTAACTTAATTGTTGTCCACAATGCCTGATCTTCGCTTTTTGTTGCGTAAAAACTTTATTTTAAAGTGATATATGCCCGATGGGCTTTGCTCGAGCCGCTATTTACTCCAGCCCAGAGGGCGAATATTACGTGAAAGCTACACGAAATCTTGTCTGTTGATGTTATTCTTTTCGTATGTCATAAATGTGAAACGCTTTAATGTAAATTTATTAAAACACAATAAAACTCTTTAAAACTAAAATTATAGAAATGAAAGTTTATTCTTCACTAGTAAACCACATGATAAGTTCTCTGTTCTTTTTACATCTAAATCAAAATTTCATTTTAAAACAAAGAAAATCACTGATACTTGATTCATTTACCCTTCTATAAATTGTTCTTTGCTTATTTTTTGTGCCGGGTCAAGACCACATTTTTGAAAAATCTCTATACAAAATCCATTTATATCGACTTGTCTTACCATTTCTGGACCCATTCGGATATAGAGCTTTAAAAAAAAGACAGAATAATCTCTTGCTTTACAGGCATAAAAAAGATCTTTTACTATTTTTTTCATAAAATCCTTAAGAGGAGACCCCCCCTCTCTTTCGAACGTTTCTGACGAACGGCCGAACATAAAATTTCAGGGTAGATAGTTAGACCCAATGTTTATACTGCTTCTTCAAGCCAAAATATGTCATAATCATTTGAATATACATTTATTTCCATGTGGATTAATTTGGATAGATGCTCGATTAAAAATGAATTTTCTGCTTCGTTGAAAAGACATTTAAGTAGTTCGAGATTAGCAAATACTTGACAGAATCGTTCTAATTGATCTGAATATCTCAATGAATCCACATGAGAAAAGTAATACTGAGTTTGTTCTATTAAATCTTGAGGATGAAGTATTAAATATCTCACACTATCGTATGTATTCGTATGACTAAATGACTCGTTAGAATATCGACGACCAGTTTTATGAAAACCAAATGTTTCAAACGGCTATAGGAAATAGTGTAAATTGATATTGACAATGATTGTATGACATATTCTACGTACCAATGATGTTCAATACGTCAAAAAAATGCTCTGAAGCTGCTATTCATAAGCATTGACAATATTCGTAATGAATAGACAATATGATTGATGTTGAGGCAAGAAAAAGTCTATATCGTAAGTGAATGTACGATGAGTAATATTTGACTTACTCCATTGATGATGATTTATTCTTTCGACAGTGACAGAAATTGACTGAAAATGAATTTAATTCGTAGCGATACTCACCTTACCTGCAGTCTCGTTTGCCTCTTATTTCCTATTCTGAAGGGAGGGTCAAGCCGAAAAAAGCGGTCAAAAAATTGAACTTCGTTTGTTTGTATCTCTCCCACCGGTCAAAGGTCAAGATACATCGATGCTATAAAAACTTCATAAAGCGTCATTTGGGAGGGATCTACAAACGATTAAATAACATTTGATGTATTCTTTCTTCTTATTGATATTATCGAAAAATTAATTAATTAATTAATTTTTTCATCTAGTTCTTTGAAAGAAACAATTTGGACGGTGTTTAGAGAAAAGAGAACCATCGACTATCAATGAGGTGAATCAGTTCTACGCGAAGAATGAAAAATATCGATTTTTACTTATACCGGCAGATAAAAGAAGATCTGTGGAAAGACAACGACAGTTTCTTGATATTCTACTGTATTTTGTATAAGAGAATGATTCTCACAATGATACAAGTCATTATGAGAATCACATCTTTTGAGCATTAGTGAAGAGCGAAATTCAAATATTCGGTAAGTCTAAAATGGCGGCCAACTGTTTACGGGCATCAATGCTGGCACAATCCATTAGTGGCAATATTCGCATCTTAATGCTATGGGGCATATTTGTCGTATCTTCACTCGCTACACGAGTATACTTAGTAATAATATCCAACCAGTTTTGATCGGACGACACCTCGCTTAAATAGGTGTCCATAGCTACACCTTGTAATCCTTTACGATGAGCAAGTTCAAAAGCCAATTGTACTTCGGGCACTTGACCGATACATTCGAATGGTGTATGTTTTTCAAGACCTAGCATTTGACGGTAGTAGAGTTGATTTTCCGGTAAATTAAGAAGATTTTCTTTCTCAAAGATTCCATCGACGAGGTCAAATGGTAGATAAGCCATATAATTCAGCCAGATGTAAGCGCATTTTGCACAGCGTTTACACCACGGTTTCTTAACATTACATGAATGAGTGAAAGGAATCGAACCAATACTATTTTTCAAAATACTAAATATTAATACATCGTATAGCGGTTTCA